CCGTTTTAACGTTGTTAGAACAACGGGCAAAAGTTGTAGATAGTGATGAGTTGGCCGACGCGTTTCGAATGCGGTCTGCATCCATTATCAAGGCTGGGTGTTGTGTGAATTGCAATTACTGTTAGTGGATATTTATAGGCAAGCGGGTGGTGATATTTAGCTCATTAGGTGGCGCTGTCAACTACATTGAAAGGCGTTGATATATATACCTAAATAAACTTTCCTTACTTATTTTATTCAAATAGCTCACATGTTATGTGAGTTTAGTCTTTAATGTTGCTTTGCAAGTTTCTCGCTGCTCAACGAAGACATTAGCATGCTTAGACGTTGGGGAACATTGATCTAGCCGCTAAGGAAAAGACTCAAAATATATTGAATCACTTATGTCGTTTGTAAAACTATTCTCAGGTGACGCACAAAATAATGAATTTCGTTGAAAACTTAAGATTCTTACTACAACGTCTGTAGGCTTTTAGTCTAAATATTAAGTAATTATTCATTTCTACATTTTAGCTAGTGGCATTTAGTATGGTGTTAACGGAAGAAAAGAACTTGAGAAATGATTGTAAGAAAACGAAAATACTTACTATCTTAAGAGACCGAGAGGGGTTATGGTCTTCCATCTTTGACATTCATAAAGAACAGCTTGAGTGTAAGGAAGGTGTACATGATCATCCCAGGATGGTAACCTTTCTCTACCAATAAAACTGTCAATCTCGTTTTGCACTCGTTTCTGAACATCCGGGTATGCAGCCATAGTTAGAAGACACCATTCTATTCCTGTCCGCACTGTACTGCTGCCTCCAAGAAACCAAGCATGAACATTTCCACACAACATGTCATCTGAAACACGTTGACGAGTGTCACATGTCAGTATTCATACTGAATGCATCCTTGTAATCTGGGTGCTTTTATTTTAAAAATTGTTTAACCTTACAATTTATATCGAAACAAATATAATATGATCAGGAATACGTTATAAAGCGTGAATAAATTTCATTTTAGTTTGGGCACAATGAATTGTTGAAAACCTTATTCATAGATGTCTTTGTAAGCTAAGGCGTTATTATTTAGCAGCTATATTTGTCGATATTTATGTGAGTTGCACTGTTATTTCTTAGTACATTAAATTGGCTGGATCTGCGTGAAGTAAAGCATTATTAGTTAGTACATTAATTTGGTCACATCTGTGGAAGTATATTGTTATTACTTAGTAAAGCAACTTAGCTGGAGCTGAGAAACGTACATGGTTATTGTTTACATAGGGATTTATAGGATTTTAGGGGAGTAGTATCAATGATAGGGATTACTATGTTGTCAATTGGGGTAGTTCATCTCTGCTTTGGTCCTCACTTGCATCCACCTCTCACCTGTGTCCATCAAGAAGCTGCTTGGCAGTGGCCACATCCCAGCAATTAAACACTTTGGTGGGTGGGCTAAAGCAAGTGAGGGTAGTTGTGGATCTTCTATCCCATGTGAAGTAGAGGCTTGCTTATCTCTTGCATGTGAAGACTGTGCCAGTGGACTTGGTGGTTGAAACCAGCTATGATTCCATGACCACGAAGGTGATGATGTAACTCATTATGGAACACAAAGAGCATGATAAGTTACCAAGGACATCATGGTCATTCACTGAAGCAGAGGACGTTTTTAACCATAATGGATCTGAGTCAGACTTCTGTGACTGAGTAAGAGGGACTGCTTTGTGCACAGGTGTATTTTGTGTAGTTCATCTCCCTTTCCTTTTTCTTTAACTTCAACTTCCCAGTAACTCCTTTGGCGACAGGGTGTGATGAGGTGACATACAGAAGTGACAAATGGTATTTGTAGTCACAGTCCTGGATGTAGGCATCCATGGGACAAATGGTATTTGTAGTAACAGTCCTGGATGTAGGCATCCATGGGACAAATGGTATTTGTAGTCACAGTCCTGGATGTAGGCATCCATGGGACAAATGGTATTTGTAGTAACAGTCCTGGATGTAGGCATCCATGGGACAAATGGTATTTGTAGTCACAGTCCTGGATGTAGGCATCCATGGGACAAATGGTATTTGTAGTAACAGTCCTGGATGTAGGCATCCATGGGACAAATGGTATTTGTAGTCACAGTCCTGGATGTAGGCATCCATGGGACAAATGGTATTTGTAGTAACAGTCCTGGATGTAGGCATCCATGGGACAAATGGTATTTGTAGTCACAGTCCTGGATGTAGGCATCCATGGGACAAATGGTATTTGTAGTCACAGTCCTGGATGTAGGCATCCATGGGACAAATGGTCGTTCAACCATGAACCCTGGGATAGCAGGAAGAGCATCATTAGCATCCCAGGCGATTGAGTATCCTTGATTAGGACCACACTACTCACACTTTTTAAGAGATTTGGCTACAAAATTTGGCCCAAACATTTCCTGCCCTAAAACATCTGGCCAGCTTACTACATCTGCAGGTCACTCATATGACAGTAGACAATCTACAAGAAAACTCAAGATGGAAGTACAGAATATCCAAACACTGAATCACAGAGGAAACTCATTAAGACCTGAAAGGATTTTGTTTGTTTGAAGTTATGCACAAAGATACACAATGGGCTATCTGTGCTCTGCCCACCATAGGTATCGAAACCCGGTTTCTAGCGTTCTAAGTCTGCAAACATACCGCTGTGCCACAGGGGAGCGACCTGAAAGGAGAACAGCCCTAATTTCCAGAGAACTCACCCATTGCAACATCCATATTGTGGTGTTGAGTGAGACCAGATTGGTTGAATGATGTGCTATCAGCGAACCCAGAGAAAAGTCAGCACACAAAGACAGATTTTATGGAGTTGTATTGGCAAGATATACAGTATTGAAGAAGTAAGACTATACTGAAGGTTGTGATGGATAAACAAAATATAGGAAAAAATAATAGTAATGGACTACTCCTTCTGAGTATATGTAAGAAGCACAATCTGTTGATCACAAGCACCTTCTTCAGTCAAGCAGACAAATATATGACAACCTGGTTGCATCCAAGGTCCAAACACTGGCAAAGATTGATTTTGTTATCATCTGCCAAAAAGGTATATAAGGCATAAGTTTACCAGAGTCTTGCATAATGTCAGCTGCTGGACTGATCACTGGCTGGTCGAAGCAACATTGAACCTGCATATTAGCCATACCTGGTAGAAGCATCCCAGACTGGTCATACCATCTTTAAACACTGAAAACTCAATAACCCTGGCTATTGAGGTCAGTTCTAACAGGAGCTACATGAAAGACTAAATGCCATCACGCCACTGGCTAGTTCCCCAAATGAACAATTGAACCAGCTCAAAGAGATTGTCACAAATACCACCTGAACAGGGTTCTATTCAAGACGAGAGTGAGCAAGGACTTATTCGACCATAACAATGAGGATATCAAGAAATATCTGCCAGAAAAGAAAGAACCGTGAATGGCAAAATAACATGATTTCAACCACCATAAAAAAAGATCACTTCAAGTATTTACACACTGAGGCTCACGTCCAACTGCATAATATACAAAACGCATGGTATAAGAGAAAATAATTTTTCAAATACCAGCAATACTAAGTGTTCCTTTATTATCTAAGGACTGCCTATGGAACCTCCAAATCGGAAACAGCCCCTCTACTGTCTACAGATGGAGTAGTGTTAATCAAGGATAAGATGGGCACTATTCAAAGATGTGCAGATCATTGTGATAGCTTGCCAAACAGATCATCCATAGTCCATAGTTGATTCCTCAGTCATTGATAAACTATCCCTCCTAAATCCTACCACAAAGACCTTGAGCTTCCTCCAACAGTAGAAGCATAGGAATCATCACCAGTATCGTTGTGACACTTTTCAAGAATAAAGGCAACCAAGCAGACTGTATCAACTACAGGTGAATCTCTCGCCTTTCAGTTCATGGCAAAATCCTAGTGCATGCCAATTTTTTGAGATGATGTTTGGTTTCAGATCGGAATGCAGCACAATGGTTACGATATTCTTGATGAAGCAAGTGCAGGAGAAAATTATCAAGGAAAACATTCACTTGTATGCTGTTTTCATTGGTCCAACATAGGCATTTCACAGTCAGCAGATTTAGTCTTTGGGCAATTCCTGAGAGACTAGACTTTCCAAAACAGTTTTTACACGTGATTCAACTCTTCTATAAACACATCACTGCCCAATCCGATTACGTGGTAGCTAATCAGACACCTTTGAAATCTCCAATGGTGTGAAACAGAGATGTGGTAGTATATAAGGTATTGTTTGGTGGAAATAGTCGTTCATGCAGCACTCTTTGCTGACCACTACACTATTATAACTCACTCTCAGGGTGATGTTTAACTCTTTCATAACTTTCTCGGTGGACAACATCAATCATGTGACCACAATGTAACCATCAGAGTCTGCATACTATAAATAGTAACATGTTTTGTGCATCGTCACGAAAATTTTCAAACTTTTAGTAAACATCGAGACATATTTTTAGACCTTATAACCACCATAAGATTTTAAAGATTGAAAAATGCAAAATAAAATAAGTAGTACTGATCTATACCTTTTTAGTATTAACAAAGAAGTTCTATCATAAGAGTTTGTACTTTTAACCTTTTGAAATCTATGTTTATTTGTCAGTGGCTTAAGTTGAAACCTACTGAACATAAAGCAATCAACCACCACTCCTGCTACTAGACTGTTTATGTGACACTGTAGTACAACACAGTAGCAAATAAGCTCATGCAGTACAATTACGAGAAATCTCCTTCAGAGTGGGAAATGATTTATCGGCATGTTTAGAGTACAGTGGTTACAACGAAAATTGTCTAAAATAATAAAAGCATGAGAAAATGTTTATGACATGCTATGTGTGGGTTAAAACTCTCTTTTTCGGTTTAGAGCAAACTACCTAATAAATTTCACCATTTCAAGTGAAATTATAATTTTCCCCTTCAAACTAATTACAAACGACTATCAGGTTCACATAGTTTGGAAAATACTTTATATACTGGTTATAAACAGGTATTTAAGAGAAACAGGCGTGAGTAGACAAGACGTTTCAAAAGAATTAGTAGTTGGAGGCAATAATCTGATAGGTTTGAGAAATGTGTTGACACGTCAGTAAATCAAACAGGTGGGTTTTTTATTTTATATTTTAGCTTGTTCATACTTTAACAACTATAGACTTGTATGGTAGGACTAATAAAATAGAGACTGCGCAGTAAGACAAGAAGACATGTCATATGACACCTAAAAAAGCATATATATTATTTCTTAAACATTTTCTTTCGAATTAAGAATTTAAAATTCCCGTTATAAACTACGTTATGATACTAATGTTACTGACAAACAATGAAAATAATATTGTTCAATTAAATTTTGAAAAGAACTCTCTAAAACGTTATGACATGCGTTTTTTGACCTGTTCGTAGTGAGAGGGTTAATACATTGTGCATAGAATTATAGAGGCCTATCAACTCTTTGGTCTGACTATTAGCGTAAGTAAAACTGATGTTTCATTCACTCAGATTGACAGAAACCAAATGAATACTGTCTAAGAGATCAAATACCTTGAAAACACTCTTTGCAACTACAGTTCACTAGACAAAGAGATAACATTTAGAATTTACAATGTTATTCAGATCCTGGGCAGGATCTGTGTTAGTGTTCAACCATCGCAAGATCGCTTTTCCAACCAAGGTCATAGTGTACGAAGCTGTGGCACGTCCTCCCTTCTGTATGACGTAAAAATGACTCTATATTGAAGACATCTTAACTGGAGAATTTTCAAATGCACTTCCTTTGATCTGTAATGGGCATCCACTGGAAAAAGAAATTCACGAACAAGGAAGTTCTAGAAAGGACCAGCACCATCAACATCGAGGAAGATTATTTAATATAAATTAGTCAAGTGAATGTGCTGAAACAAGAAGAGTGAAGCGTTCAGTGATGCAAGATTGAACCTCATGCTCTAAAGCAGTCGACCCAGAACAGGCCCCACTGGCATGCTTTGACCACAATGGCTGAAAACGTTTCATGGAGGACAGGCCAAACTGTCTGAAAGCTGCTTGAACTCATCAACACAATAGAGCTGTGGCATATGCTACAATGACGAACTTTCAATGTCCCTACTACACACATTTGTGATCATCAAGAATCAGTTTTACCAGCCACTTGTGCACTCGCAGACGTAAAAGACGAGATGAAAGCACACAGAACATGACATGTCATGATTGGAAGTGATAAACTACTAGATAACTTAGAACATTGATTTGGTCTAACTTGTGTGAGCTACAGAATTATTTGTCAGTAGCTTCAGTTAGCCAGGTTGCGTTACAGAATTATTAGATAGTGGCTCTACTTGGTAGGATCTGTCTGAGTTGTATTGTTATTACTAAATTATTTCATTTTGCTAGAGCTGTTTGAGCTACAGAATTATTTGTCAGTAGCTTCAGTTAGCCAGGTTGCGTTACAGAATTATTAGATAGTGGCTCTACTTGGTAGGATCTGTCTGAGTTGTATTGTTATTACTAAATTATTTCATTTTGCTAGAGCTGTTTGAGCTACAGCATTATTTGTCGGTAGCTTCATTTGTCTGGACTTGAGTTACAGCATTATTATATAGGGTAGGTCTGTGTGTATTACAATGTTATTTATTATTGAGTGATAGCATTATCAGTTTTAGTTTAATTTGTCTGGATATGTTATAGATACAGTTTATTTTCTAATAGCACGATTTAGTTGGATCTGGATGAGTTACTGCGTTATTAGTTGACACTTCGACGTTTCTTGGTCTGTGCGAGTTTCATTGTCATTAGATGATATTTAGTTAGGCCTAATTAAGCTCAGACCAACTGATCTGAACCATTCACATTGCCATTACTATCTAATTTAATTGTTTAGCATGCATTTGATGTTAATACCAACTTGCTGTGGTCTATGGATTTGAAAAAAAAATCACAATGCCACTGCGTTCTGAGCTAGTTTTCAAAGCTATGTATAATGTTTCTAGGAATCTGAATATATTACAAAGCTATATTACCTGTAGAGAGCCTTTTATTTTAACATCTTTAAACAATGATCATAAAAAGTTATAATAATAATATTGCTGGGAAAGTGTGTAGTTGTAAACAAAAAACAGTGCTAACTAAATTGGTAACTGTAACGCGATAACTTAAAATAACATAAAAGTAATCTATGAGAAAAGCATTTTATGATACAGAAAATATTTGGTTTTTACTAGATTTTAAAAAACAGTATTCCAAGAAAAAATTCTGAAAAGGTAAAACGAGTTATTTCCCTCTACTTCTTTAGATATCGTTGTACATTCTAAGCATCGTACACTAAGTTAAAACATGTGCTTTATAAAACCTGCGCTCTCCAAAAATTCTCTAAAAACTGAATACATTATAAGTGCAATTAAATGTTTGTTTTTTTAAATTTCGCGCAACTCTACACGAGGGTTATCTGCGCTAGCCGTCCCTAATTTAGCAGGGTAAGGCTAGAGGACAGGCAGCTAGTCATCACCACCCACCGCCAACTGTTGGGCTACCCTTTTACCAACGAATAGTGGGATTCACCGTCACATTATAACGCCCCCACGGCTGTAAAGGGCGAGCATGTTTGATGGGACGAGTATTTGAACCCGCGACCGTCAGATTGCGAGTTGAGTATCCTAACCACCTGGCCATGCCGGGCCACAATTAAATGTAACTACAAAAACTTATGATTTACTTAAGAATGTTCTAAGTTACTTAGCGGCCACAGGAGAAACCGATTGATAAAAACAATAATGTACGTGTACTATAATTCCTAAAACAAAATTCTTATGCATATGTAAATAACTTAACATTTCATTCATCTGATTCTATTAATATTTGAACTATACTACATCAAAAATATTAATATTTTGTTATAATTCTAAATTACTGTAGTTTTGTGAATTGTTTGTTTGTTTGTTTGTTTGTAATTAAGCACAAAACTACACAATGGGCTATCTGTGTTCTGCCCACCACGGGTATCGAAACCCAGATTCTATCGTTGTAAGTCAGCAGACATACCACTGTGCCACTGGGGGGCGTTTCGTGTATTTCTGATAAAAAATAAAGTGGTAATTAAATGGGTACTAGTTTCAACGTAAATATACAAAGCTTTACTTCCTCTATTTTAACAGATCTCATGTTGTAAAACATTTCAATTTTAGTAAATAACCATATAGATAGATATATTGGTAATTTACCTCCATCTAGCAATGATCTTCTTGGATCAAATATTGCCGAAACTATTAGTTTGCACAGGTAATAAACATAAAATTGTGAAGTATTTAGTTTTAAAGTTTGTTTGTTTGTTTGAATTTATGCACAAAGCTACACAAGGGGCTATCTGTGCTCTGCTCACCACGGATAACAAACTTTCGCAAATTGGGGTGTTCAGGGATATCAATATCACCCTTCGCCCCCCACGTGGAGATTGTGCTTAATTAAAGTTGGCTTTTAGTAATTTATTTTTTATATAAGTCCATATTTAAATTTTCCATTGTTGTTATTGTTTTTCTCGGAAGTTAGTGATAACATTCTTATCTAAGAAAGAGGTCATGGTACCTAGCACCTGACATAAAGATAAATCGCAGTGATTGCATTCCAATTATTTACACGTGAGAACATTCTTATTAACGATAGTTTCTCATTCATCTTACCCTCGTTGCTTTTCTCCAAAAACCAACCAACTCATTCATTTTCCAGCACGAAGTTGTAGTTGACTGAGAAAAATATATTTACCTCGTGCTTCAAAAATATTGTACTTGTCTAGAAAGATAAAGTGTTTTTTATCTTCTGGTGCAAAACTGTTGTACTTATAGTATTTTGGCACTTGGGTATAAAGTTAAAATCATAAATAATATTCAGCGTTAAACTGGTACACAGTTAAAAACATTTTATTTAGGCCTATCTATGACCTTCAAAAAGTTGACCTCAGGAGTCACGTTGTAATGTCGAAACATGTAGAGTCGTCAACTTTATGAAGGCCATAGATAGGCCTAAATAAAATGTTTTTAACTGTGTACCAGTTTAACGTTGAATATTATTTATGATTAATACACATGTTTGAG